ATTCTGCCTACAAAGCTGACTATTTCTGTGATCTTGAGCAAGTCATTCAGGCTGAAATGAAGAGACAGACATGGCCCTGCTCTAGTTCTATGATCTCACAACAATCTTCTCTTTAATGTTAAATGCTGATAATGACCTAGGCCTTCATGGTAAATATTGACTTCTTTCTGATGTTCCTCTTTTTAGATTATAATGTACTGATTACTATAACCCCCCCCCCCCCAGAACAATGCTAAACCTCTAAACTACATTCCAGGTTCATTCAAAAGAATTCAGCCTAACAACTTAACGGGAAAAAATAAGTGAAAAAAAAAGTCTGTTGTCTAGGTAGCTGGATGGACAACCCCTTGTACTGATCCATAAACACATAGATCTTGGACAGACAGACAGCTCACTGATAGTGAGCCCTGCCCAGAATTGAGTAGGAAGAAGTGAACATGTTATACTGTATTTTGAAAATTGCATCATGCTTTAAAAAGAAGCTAAGTTCAACAATCATCAAAACTACTTGGTACTGTCTAAGAAATAGAGTGGTGGATCAGTGGAATAGGTTAGGTAGGCAAGACACAGTAGTCAATGACTATGGTAATCTACTGTTTGATAAACTCAAAGACCCCAGTTTCTGGGATAAGAACTCACTATTTGACAAAAACTGCTGGGAAAACTGGAAAAGAGTATGACAGAAACTAGGCATAGACCAAAATCTTACACCATATACCAAAATAAAGTCAAAATGGGTACACGATTTAGATATAAAGGCTGATACTACAAGCAAACTGGGAGGGCAAGGAATAGTTTACCTGTCAGATTTATGGAGAACAGGAGAATTTATGACCAAACAAGAGATAGAGCACATAATGAAATGGAAAATGGATAACTTTGATTACATTAAACTGAACAGTTTTTGCACAAACAAAAGCCAATGCAACCAAGATTAGGAGGGAAGTAGAAAACTGGGAAAGAATTTTTATAACCAGTGTCTCTGATAGGGGCCTCATTTCTAAAATATGTAGAGAACTAAATCAAATTTATAAGAATACAAGTCATTCCCCAATTGATGAATTGTCAAAGGATATGAACAGGCAGTTTTTAGAGGAAGAAATCAGACTATCTATAGTCATATGAAAAAATGCTCTAAATTACTGTTGATTAGAGAAATGCAAATCAAAACAACTCTGAGGTACCACTTCACACCTATCAGATTGGCTAACATGACAAAAGAGGAAAATGATAAATGTTGGAGAAGATGTGGGAAAATCGGAACACTAATGCATTGTTGGTGGAGTTGTGAAATGATCCAACCATTTTGGAGAGCAATTTGGAACTATGCTCAAAAGGCTATAAAAATGTGCATATCCTTTGACCCAGCAATAGCATTTCTATGGCTATATCTCAAAGAGATCATAAAAATGGGAAAAAGACCCACATGTACAAAAATATTTATAGCAGCTCTTTCTGTGATGACAAAGAATTGGAGATTGAGGGGATGCCCATCAACTGGGGAATGGCTGAACAAGTTGTGTTATATGAATGTAATGGAATGCTATTGTGTTATAAGAAATGATGAACAGGTGGACTTTAGAAAAACCTGGAAAGACTAATATGAGCTGAACCAAGAGAACATTGTACACAGTAACAGCCACTTAGTGAGTTGACTAACTTTGATAGACTTAGCTCTTCACAGCAATGACTTAAATGGCTTTAAAAAGTTCATTGTATTTAAATTGGGGATATAATCAATCAATCAAACAACAAGCACTCATTGAACCCCTACAATGTGCCAAATACTAGTGATTCGATAGATGGAATATGCCCTCAAGAACTATTTGACTTTAAACCCAAATCATTCAATTTTTACCGAATGGTCAACAATAGGCCCAGCCCCACCCTCTTAGGCTCTTTGTTTAGGTTTTGTTGGCTTAGAATGATTGTAAATAGCACTCAGAGGGTCTTTCCCCTCCCAGATTGATATCTTTGAGGTGGTAAATTGGGCCACCTTTTATTCGATTCTTAACTAGCCCTTAATCATTGAATGGGGGTTGCCTCAGACAAATTAAGATCTGGGAAAGACCTTTATTTAGAAAAGCCAAGGTCACCCAATGCATCCCCTTGTCTCACCACTAGACTCCAATGACTGGAGGAGAGAGCTAGGCAGACACTTGGCATAGCTCTGCCTCAGTCAAATCTAATTCACATGAGCAAGTCTGGACCTCAGGGCCGTGATGTCATTGGTCTGCTTGGAAAACCAAGTATGCACAACTACAAGCTACAGTGCTCCACCCTCGAACAAGTCCCTCTAGCCCCTAAAATTGTAGTTTCTTTCTTCTGAGCTCACCTTGTCCAGGCCCTTTTGTCCTTCTTGTCTAATTATAATTATAGTTATTTGTGTAGGTACCACCTCCCTATTAGATGTAAATAAGCTTTATAAGGACAATAGACCATACTATTTTTCCTCTTTATATCCCCAGCTCCAAATACTGCTCTCTATACATACATTTAGTAAATGTTTCCTAGATTTAATTGAATGATTCTAAGTCCTTGAAGTAATAGGGGGAAGGGGATAGAGGCCAAAGGTCCAACCTTGGTCAAGTCACTTCTGCCTGTGTTTTTTTCATGGCCCAGAGGAGTAAACCCTGTCTGCCCCTAGAGAGCTCAGTCTGTGTGAGACAGGATTCATTCACATGGGACAGCTCTGGAACAACTCAAGACAATGGGGGAGCCCAGTCATAGACAATTAGGCTCACATATGCTGACAAACACCTTCCTTTAGCCCCAGAAAAGCAGAACTGGTCAGTGAGTCAGGGCTGGTCTTTCTACTTCTCTTTTCTATTCCCCCTTCTTCCCCCCCCCCCAACCCTTCATATTTTTCCTCCCAATGTCCAATGTATGCATATCCTTCCACACCCTTCCCAATTCAATTCAATTCATTTGTTAAGTGACTATTCTGTGAGGGATGAATGCCTGCAGGCCATAGAAGATAGAGGGCCAGGCCTGCAGTCAAGAAGCTCCAGTAGCCTCAGACACGTGCTATGTGACTCAGAGCAAGTCCCTTAACCTCTCAGTGCCTCCAGGAAGTTTTGCATGGGTCCAGGGAGTTTCAACGAGGAAAGTTTCCTATATAAATGAATACACTAATGTGCAGGGCATTGTGTTAACTACTGGGGATATAATCAATTAATCAATAAGCACTCATTGAACCCCTACTATGTGCCAAATTCTAGGGATTAGAGGATAGAGTATGCCCTCAAGAAGCTTGTAGCCTCAGCTACTAATAGAGATCAGAGAGGCCTCATTTAGGAGCTGGGCTTGAAAGGAAAAGAGGGATTCTAAGGGGCAGAATTGAGGAAGGAGGTGACTGTATACAGGGCCTGTATAAGTCATGGAGACAAGTTTTGCATCTCCAATTCCCTGCCCCTCCAGATGGGGTGATGGTGGAAGAGGGAATTTGTTGGGAAGGGGTTTTTTCAGGGAGGGTACAACCTTACACAGAAGAATAATGTGAAATAAGAATGGAAAGATGGGTTGGATCTAGTTTATGGAGGGCTTTAAATACCTGGTTGATGAGTTCATATTTCATTCTAGAAGCAGTAGGGAACCACTGAAGGTTTGTGAGCAGAGAAGTGACATGGTCAGTCCCTGGCAACTTGTAGGGAAGATTTGAGAGGGAAGAGACAAGTGGCAGAAGAACCCTTAGGCTATTTTACAGTGGTTCAGGTTCAGGTTACAGTGGTTTTACAGGTTCAACAAAGAGGTGGTAAGTGAATGGAGAGGTTAAAATTGGGAGAATTGTTCCCTGCCCTTCTCTGCTAGTTAGTCAATCAACAGACATTTTTGTTCAGGCACTGTGCTCACTGCTGATGATAAAAAAAAAATAAAAATGAAAGTCCCCTCTCCAGATCACAACATGCTCCTCGTTCTTCCTCTGTTCACCCTACTGATGGGGCGCCTCACTCATTTTCCCCTCAACGAAGCCCTCAAATTACTTCAATAGTGGAGGTGGGGAAACCTACTGTAAGGCAGGGATTGCAATCCAGGTGAGAGGTCATTACTGTGGTGGGTACTGGAATAGACAGACAGGAACTGATATGAGTTGCTGTGAAGAGGGAATCCACCAGACTTGCTACAGTAACCTACTCCAATGAGAAGGGAGAGAGATGGAAGGTCTTGAAATGGGAGACTTCAGGGTATAGCTGCAAGGAAACCAGAAAAAGGGAAGTCAGCAGGAGGAACAGGTTAGGGGTGGGGGTGGGGAATGATATCATAGGGTCCGGAGTGGGTGGGTGGCTCTGGAGGGGATAGCTTACTATTTTACGGCCTCATCTGCAGCTATGGTCTGTGGCTTCCGAGGGAGCCAAAGAAGGGAAGGGATGATAAGATGAAGAGGTGAGGGCAAACACCAGTTAGAAAGAGGCATGAAAGTCACTGGCAGAATTCCTGGCTGCAGCAGGGGAGTTTTCAGTTCAGTTCCCAGCCAGTGCACATTTGAGAGGCACTGACAATGATTGACAAATTATTGAGGGGCAAAGCACCCTGCTGGAAGTGGAAAGAGCTCCAGGTCTAGAGTTGAAGGGCACTTGAGTTTGTCTCTTACATCCTACACGAACTCGGGCAAGTCATCCGACCGCTCGGTGCCTCAGTTTCCCCACCTGTAAAATAAGGGGATTGCACTACGTTGGCTTCCCACTTTCAGCCCTTTGAGTTACTCCCACCCCGTTCCCAGAGCAGGCAGGACGGCGTTCAGACACTCATCACCCCCACGCTAGCTGCACCGCCCTGGGAGCGCTCCCACGCCAGAACGGAGCAGGCCTTTATCCGCCCGACGCGTCGCCTTGGCCGCAGCCCGGGAGCCGAGCCGGGAGCCCTGGCCGCGGCGGGGCTGGAGGCGGGGCCGGGGGAGGAGCCCGGGCCGCGGGCTCTGCGGCGTCAGTACTGAGCGCCGGGCCAGGAAGCCGAGCTTTCCCGGAGCCGCCGCCGCCGCTGCCGTCGCTGCTGCCCGGGACCACGTGCGGAACCCGCCCGCGCCGAACCCCGCGGGACCGGGCAGGGCAGGAGCCCCGAGCAGCCCCAGGTGAGGCTCCGAGGCGGGCGGGGCTGTGCTGCAGGAGCAGGACCCAGGGACCCCCCGCCCCACCCCCACCACCCTAACTCCGCGTGTCGTCCGACTGCACTCCTCCGAGCCCGCCTGTGCGCCAGGGGAACTTTCAGTACTGTCCAGACCAGAGGCCTTCATTTGACAGATGAGAGAAAGTGAGGCTCGGAAAGTCACAAAAGCTCTCCCATGCCCGTTGCCCACAGGCCCCAATCCTTCCATCCCCTCCTGTCCCCCGCATACCAACCAAGTTGGTCAATTCATGTATCCCCCAAACGGGCATCGACTTTGTTTCCACTTCTTTACTACCACTGAAAGTGCTGATAAAAATATGTTGTTGTATAAAGGGCCTTTAAATAGAAATACACGTACACTCTATGTATAGAGTGTATGTGTGTGTAAAGCTACCCCTGCTCAAAATGCTAAAAATATATTGGTGTATAAAGGGCCTTTATCAGTCTAGCTAGCTAGCTATCTACACACACACACACACACACCATACCACACCACACCATACCACCACCACCTCCCTCTGTTCTGCCCCTTGGAATCCCTCATTTCCTTTCAAGCTCAGCTCCTAAATGAGGCCTTTCTGATTTCCCCACCAGCTGTTGGGGCTGTAAGCTCTTGTGTCCTCTTTATGTTTGAATCTCTAGTATTTGGCACATAGTAGGAGTTCAATGCATATATAAAATATATCTATAGTGTCTGTTACCCCTGCCCATAATGCTAATATGTAGGTGTATAAAGGGCCTTTAAATATATATGTGTGTAACATAATGTATACAAAGATACACATTTACATACGTTTATTACTTCTGCCCATAATGCCCCGTTTCCCACTGTGCCCCCTATGTGCCAATCCCTTTGATCTCCAGTGTATAGAGACCCCAGCCTCTTCTGCCTGTATATCTCAGTCCCTGCCATCCCTCATTCTCTAGGCCGTTTCCTTGTCTGTCCACATTCTAGGTTCCTTCCTGGTTCACTTGGCCCTGTTCCTGTTCATTTTCCAGGTTTCATTCAGTTTTCCCATCAGTATTTATCAGAACCCATGTCATGACAGATTTATTTCCATATTCTGCCTTTTAAAAGTACCCATGGGTCCAATGAAAAGTTGACTATCTTATAAGTGTGAGGGTATGCAGGATGAGACATTTGGTGCCCTCTTCCCTTTTCCTTTGATCCGAAAGAGTTCTTGTCTCCCTACCTAGAATGTTAGCCCTATAGGGACATGAACAATTGAACACAATAAACAAATCTCATCCTTTTCTAAGTACTCTTTTAACTTGGCCTGTCTGTAGCACCTTCTGTATACTTACATTCCTCTTGGTTTCTGACAATGTTCTCTTTTGGTTGTCTTCCTACCTGTCCATTCCATAAATATTCTTTCTCTGGATAATTATCCATCTACCATCTATTAAGGAAAGAAGGAAGGCAACAAGCATTTATTAAGCACCTGCTATGTGCTTAGTAGTAATGTGCTTAATGTTCTTAATAGTGTCAGGTAATGTGTGAGTACTGTACAAATATTATCTCATTTGATCCTCACAACAACCCTGAGAGGCAGATGCTATTATTATTCCCATTATACAATAGAGAAAACTGAGGCAGGCAGACAGTTTAAGTGACTTACCCAAGGTCTCACCGCTAGTGAATGACTCAGGCTGGATTTGAACTCAAGTCTCCAGACTCCAGGTTCAGTGTTCTATCCACATTTGGATTACATGGATATCCCTCCATGTGGTTCTGAGCCCTTTTTTTCTTCTCTCTCTAGGGGTTCTTATTAGCTCTCAAGAGTTCAGTTATCTCTATGAAGCCTCTTTTAAAAATATACATTAAAAATTATTTCATTAAATATTTTCCAATTACATGTAAAAAAATTTTAACATTCATTTTAAAATTTTTTAAAATTCTCTCCCTCCCACCCCTCCCCCATCCCTTGAGAATGAAGTTGTCTCTTAAATCTATATATTCATCTCTAATCTTTGTCCTGACCTTTAGTCCTCAATTCCCAGAAGTCAACTGAGTAATGCTACCTGGATGTCCCAGCCACATCTTAAACTCATCTTGTCCAAAGCAAGATTCCTATTTTCCCCCCCAAACCCATCCCATCTCCAAACTGATGAATTTTCTGCCCAGGCACCTCCGTTCTTCCAGCCACCCATATTTGCAACTTTGGAGTCATCCTTTAATCTTTCCTGCACCTCAGCCCACCCTCCCCTACCTTGTGTGCATATGAATTCTATTTCCACATTTCTTACACTGGTCCCTTCCTCTCCACTCACATAACCACTCCTCTGCTTCAGGTCCTTATCACCTCTAGCCTGAGCTATTGTAATGGCTTCTTACTTGGTCACCTTGCGTCCAGGTTATTCCCTCTCCATTCCATCCTACACACAACTGACATATTAATTTTCCTAATACGTAGGTATTACACAGCCATCAACTCCCCCCCCATTTGTTTCAGCTCAGATGAGATAATATATTGTCAAGTGATTTATAAACTTTAAAATGCTGTGTATCTGTAAGATACTATTATTACTTGTGATGTTTAAAAAAAAGTTCAAGAGATATAGTTTCTGGGTAATTAATAATTTTATTAATCATGCTAGCAGATAATTAATAAAAGGGGTCAGTGGCACTCCTGAATGCCAAAGACCCCTCACAGAACCCACTTAATGCTTATATGCCTTTGGAAGAGTGGGTGTTCCTGAGGGTAGCAATCAAATCTGATTGGTTAACAAGTAATGAAAGAATGAATATTATAATGAGAGGTAGACCTATTTTTTTTAAACTGGTTAGTTCATTTATTTATTTTGTTATTTATTTTTAGTTTTCAACATTCACTTCCATAAGATTTTGAGTTTTAAATTTTCTCCTCCTTCTTCTCTTCCTCGCCAAGACAGCATATAATGTGAGATAGGCTCTACTTATACATTCATATTAAACACATTTTCACATTAGTCATGATGTATAGAAAAATTAGAACTAATGGGAGAAACCACAAGAAAGAAGAAATAAAACCAAACAACAAAAGAAAAGGAGAGTAAATAGTATGCTTCCATCAGCATTCAAACTCCATGGTTCTTTTTTGAGATGTGGATAGCATTTTCCATCATGAGTCTTTTGGAGTTGTCTCAGATCCATTCGTTGCTGAGAAAAGTTAAGTCTATCAAAGTCAGTCATCACACAGTGTAGTTGTTACTGTGTACAATGTTCTCCTGGTTCTACTCATTTCACTCTGCATCACTTCATGTAAGTCTTTCCAGGTTTTTCTGAAGGAGGTAGACCTATTCTAATGAGAGGCTGGGGAATATGACTTTGATTATACCATTTACTTGTAGACCACCCCAACCTTGGGCAATCTAGACAAAGGATCTACCCCATACCCAAGCCAGAGTAGAACACAACGGGCCAGAATTCACCTTAGATTAAATTCTTTGTAAGGTTCTGTAGTTGAGTGGGGCAACAACACTTAGATAAGATGATCTAGGTGGGGTACATTTTTGGTGAAGAACAGAGATTTCCTTAAAAAGGAAATAATCCTGGATCTCCCCAGTAATTGGTTATTTAATAATCATTTCTCTCATACTATAGAAAAATTTCAATAGCTGCCTGTTGCCCAGATAAAATACAAACACCTCAGGCTAACAAGGCCTTAAAAGGCCCTCCACATATGACTTCAGTTTATCTTTCCAAACTTATTTCATGTTATTCCCCTTAACAAACTATTATTTCCAACCATGTTGGCCTATTAACTGTTCCCTGACCTCAATATGCCATCTCCCTTTGCACAGGCTGTCCAGAATCCCCAGAACATGGCTTTAACTACTGGAATTTCCTAGCTTCCATCAAGCCTTTCCTGATGATCCCTTTTTCTTTTCTTTTTTTTTTTTTTTTGTTTGTTTTTTTTAGGCAATTGTGGTTAAGTGACTTGCCTGGGGTCACACAGCTAGTAAGTGTCAAGTGTTTGGTCTGAGGCCGGATTTGAACTTAGGTCCTCCTGACTTCAGGGCCGGTGCTCTATCCACTGCATCACCTAGCTGCCCCCTGATGATCCCTTTTTCCCCCCTAGTCCTTAGCTCTGGTTAGATCTGGAATTACTTTGTATTTACTAGTCTGTATTCATGCTATATTCCCTTACAGGCTGCCTGTAGAATCTAAAATCTTTGAGGGCAGAAAATATTTTAGTTCTGTTTATCTTTGAGGCCCTCGCATGGTGCCTTATACGTTCTAGTTTTTAATAAATGTTTGAATTGAATGTCTGCATTATACAGTCAGTCAATAAACAGCTATTAAGTTCCTGCTGTGTGCCAGGTTTTGTGTTAAGCATTGGGGATACAAAGAAAAGCAAAAGACAGTCTCTTGAGGAGCTCAGAGTCTAATGGGAAGAAACTACATGCAAATAAGTATGTGTGAATAAGCTATGTACAGGATAAATTGGAGATACTGAACAAAGGGAAGGCACTAGAATTAAGGGAGATAGGGATGGGTCACCTCTATGAACATGTCTCTTAAATCTGCATATCCAGCCTTCACCTCTCTCCTGAGCTTCAGTCCGTAATTGCCGACTGGATCCTTTGCTCCCCTTCCACATCTCTAAATCAACGCTGTCCCCCACGGCCCAGCTCTGATATACCTCCATCGTGAAGTCTGCCCTGACTACTCTAGCTCACTATGATGTCTCAGATCACTATTTGTTAAGCCTCTATCTCCTCATCCCAGTTATCAGCCTTGTCTACATTGTTTCCTTGGCCTTGCACTTGGAATCACTGGATTTGGGAAGAGGGGTGGGAGCGAAGGAATAAGACTCAAGTTCGTCACTCTTGCAGTTCCCAATCTAGTGAACGTCAACATGGAGTATTATAACGTAGAACGATACATGTTAAGTGCATTGGAAAGAAGCAGACCAAGTGTTCTTTGGGATCTGAAAGGGAAGGACCTTATCTATGTGGGGGGATGAGGGGCCTGCAGAATCAGAGGAGATTTGACACTTAGGAGCTGGGCAAAGTCTTGGTCTCCATGTCAGTAAAATGGGGACAAATACTTGTATGACCTGCCTCTCAGAGTCCGTGAGAAGAAGACATTTTTTAAAAGTTTAAGGGTTCTACTAATGGAAGGTTTTTTATTATTATTCTTATCGTTGGATGAGGTGACAGTTGAGCTAGAAAATGGAGGTTTTGGCAGGCCTTATGGTATTTATGATAGAGCCCTCTACTGGAAGCCAAGAACTGTGTCTTTTCTCTGAACTAGGACTCGTGATTCTGGTCCTGCCAGGCACAGACTTTTATATTTAGATGACTTTGTTCTCTCTTTCCAGAAGGGCTTGGGTGGAGGCCTCCACCATGAGTTTTGTTGAGTACGAAGAGCTCATTAAAGAAGGGGATACTGCCATTATTTTCTTGGGCCATGGCTCCATGTTCCCCGTGCAAGTCCAGCGTGGGGCTCAGACCCAGACCAAGTATGGTGTAATCCGCCACTCAGCTCATCTCATCGGCCAACCTTTTGGCTCCCGGGTGACCTGCAGCAAGGGGGGCTGGGTGTATGTGCTCCACCCTACCCCTGAGCTCTGGACCCTGAACCTCCCACACCGGACCCAGATCCTCTACTCCACAGACATCTCCATCATCACCATGATGCTGGAACTGAAGCCTGGCTCCGTTGTCTGTGAATCAGGTGAGCTTAAACTGGGAAGGGTGTGGTCAGTTTACACCAGAAAAATATGTCAGCAGGGCAGACTATAAATGGAAATTTTGTAAATTGAATGCTATTTGAAGGAGGGCTTATCCTACAGAGAAATCTTTTGTCAAAAAAAAAATTTCCCTATCCTCCATTCTTAGGCCTCAGTTTCCCCACCTGTTAAATGAAGGCATTAGACTAGACATTATAGGTATACAGCTAGAAGAGACCTTCACTTCAGTTCAACAGACATGTATTTATCTGAAAGAGTTTAGGTAAGGAGGGATACCTGTCTTCATGGAGTTTACAGTCTATTAAGGGGGAGAGAAACATAACACCGTATTACATGTTAGGGTATGTTATCAAGGTACAAAAAAAGTACAGTGATGTCCAAAGAGGAAGCCCATTACAGACCAGGGAGGATCAGAGAAGGTTTCTCTGGCATTTCAGTTGGGCTTTAAATAAGGATTTAGAATTTCCTTATTTTCATATATTTATTTATTCATTCATTCATTTATTCATTGGTAAGCTGTTGAGGGTTAAGTGACTTGCTCAGGGTCACATAGCTGTTAAGCATCTCAGGCTGGATTTGAACTCAGGTCCTCCTGACTCCTAAGTGGTACAAGAATTTAACTGACAAAAGAAGGGGAGGGAGGACTTTCTACATACAGAAGAATCAGGTAGTCAATAGGCATTTATTAAACATCTGCTATGGACCAGGCACTGTTCTAAGTGCTGGGGATCTGAGGCTCAAGGAGCTTTTAATCTTATTTAAAAAAATAAAAGGTAAAATAAGCATTAGCTCATTTGATCTTCATAACCACCCTGTGAAGTTGATGCAGCTATTATTGGGGAAACTGGGGCAGACAGAGGTTAAGTGACTTGCCCAGGGTGCTTAAAGAAGCATTGAGGTCAAATTTGAATTCAAGTCTTTCCCGACTCCAGGTCCAGCACTCTGTCCGTTGTACCACCTAGCAACCTGGACTAAGATATGGTGGTGAGAAAATACAGGCTCCTCCAGGAGATCTAAGGTTATACTGGCAGTAAATAGTAAAGCCAAGTTCTCTGACTTCAGGTACAGACTTTTGTCACTACCCCAGGATGCCTGCCTCAGTATCTGGGGCAGGGCATGAGTGACCCTTTGCGTGTAATTTCTCCTTTTTCGGGATGGGACTCTGTTCCTTGTCTATAAATTGAGAGGATAGAACTAGATGATGTTGTCAGATTCCTTCCAGCTCATAATCTGTGATCCTTCTAACTCTGAGATTCCAGGACTCCAATGGATGAATGAGTAAAAAAGTGCCAACTCCTGCTTGGCAGGAGGGTGGGCTGCCCAGCACTTTCCTCCTTCCTGGAGACGTTCCAGAAGCCTGAGCCTATTTCTCTGCCCCCAGGGAGCCTGATTAGAACTAGTCATCTCCTGTTTTTTTTCACACTGTTCCCACTGTTTCTGCCCAGCGAGTGAATATTTTTTACAGGTCAATTCAGTAAACAATGAGAAAGGCAAATGGATTAACTATTCCCTAGCCTGGGAATCAGGAGAACTGGGGCTCTGACACTGACTGACTTATTTATGTTCCATGATCTTGGGCAAGTCACTTCTGTTTTGTAGGCCTTGGTTTTCCTCTCTGCAAACTATCAGGAAACTGTTATCCTCACCCTGTCATTCTCCCAGGGCTTTTTGGGGACTCTGGGTGGGAAGTATGTTTCCTAAAAAGATCTTAGACCCGCTTCCCAGTCCTGGGAGGTGGTTGGGAGAATGGACTAGGACTGAAGTTCTCTCATTCTGCCATTCATCAGTCCAGGCCTGGCTGCCCGCCAAACCCCAGTTGGAGCGTCCATCTCTCCCTTTCCCTAGTCTCTGATTGGTGTGGGCTTCATGGACCTGATAATGATATTTTTCAATATTCTTGTATGTGAACATAACATTGAATCATTTGTAAAGTGTATTTCCATGTGCCATCTCATTTGATTTTCACGATAATCCTATGTGGGAGATGGGACACAAGATAGAAGTAGTTATCACTATTTTTAAGATGTTGATATTTTTAAGATGCTGGATGTTGAAATCCTCCCTGGTTTGATGGGCTCCGCTGAGCAAATCATTGGAGCGAAGGTGTTGTCTCAGTGAATTTGTTGTCTTGGCGATAGAATGGAAGCTCCTTGAAGGCAGGGACTGTTTCATTTATGTCTTTGTGATTCTCTACTTGCTGGTCATGCTTAATGCTTATTTAATTGAATCCAGTACATCCTCCTGCATTCAGCTAGGAGAAAGGGAATTATGAAAGGAAGAAAGATGGAGAAGAGGATAGAAGGTGTGAAAGAGAGGGAGAGAGATGGAGAGAAGACAAAAGGAATTAGAGAGGGAGAAAAAAATAGAAGGAATGAAGGAGAGGAGAGTAGACAGAAGCAATGAGAGAAAGGGAGAGGAAACAGAAGGAATGATAGAAATGGAAAGGAGATAAGAGAAGGAAGGAGATGTGGAGAGGAGACAGAGAAGCAATAAGAGAAGAGGAAAGAGGGGGCAGACATTTATTAAGGCCCTATTGTATACCAGAGATACAAATATAAAAGTGATCTAGGACTTGTATTCAAGAAGCTTATACTCAGTTAGGAACTCCCAGCACATACAGAAGAATGGTGGCCAGGGAAAGGAGTTTTATCCTGGGCAGTCACAGGGCCCTTAATTGGAGCCATAGGGCAGTAAATTGTTGGCCCTTTCCAGAAGCAGTGGTAGTCCTGATTTGATTAGTAGTGTTGATTGAGAAATGCTAAGAATAGTAAAAAATAAGTAGTATTGATTTCTCTTATGTTACTATATAGAGAGAGGTATAAAGTTGCTGGGGTAGGGGAGAAGAGACCCTGCTGTCCTGGTGGAAAACTGGATATAATGCAAAACATGGACTAGGGCCAGCTGGTGGGTTATGAGAGTTTTCACTTACTCATCCATCAGTCAGACAGCTCAGCCAACTAATAGTTGCATAGCATGGTCTTGAGTTTCCTCCCTGATCTCCCTCTTCTGGAACCACTCTAGCTTATCCAAGTCATTCCCAAACTGTAGCATCCAGAATTGAACTCTAGGTGTGGTGTGACCTGGTGAGAATATAGTGGGACTATTACTTTTCATGTTCTGGACCCCTATTCCTCTCTTGGTGCTACCATATGATAATTGTAGAGTTCATGACCTTGTGGTCCACTAAAATCAGCGGATCTTTTTTCACAGGGACTATTGTCTGGCCAGTTCTGTGCTTGGGAAATTGATATTTTGACCTTGACATGAATCTGTGTAAAACTTAATTTCATTATTATATCATTTTAACCTATCAAGATTTTTTTTGCATGCTAACTCCATCATACAGCATGTTAGCTGTCCCTCCTGCCTTTGTCATTTCCAGATTTGATAAGGATGTATCATCTTTGCCTTCATCCAAATCCTTGATAAAATATTGAACAGTACAGGACTAAGGATAAGGACACTCAGATATAAATATCTCCAAGTTGATATCAAGTTATTAATAATTTCTCCAGGTACAGCCATTCAAAGAGTCCTGAATTCACCAAACCTTACTCTTATTTGTTAGCCCTTGTCTCTCCATCTTGTCCACAAAGATGGCATCAGAAACTGTCAAATGCTTTATTGAAGTCTAGATCAACTTTATGAACACTCTCCCAATCTCTCCTTTGTCAGGGCCAGGAACAAGGTTAGCCTGGCATGACCCATTCATTTTCCTTTCTGCATTTCAGCAAACATCTCTTTATTGATGTGTTCTAGATTTTGCCAGGAATTGATGTCAAGTTCTCTGGGCCTGTTAAGGCCAGATTTTACTCTCTGGTTTTTTGGGTTGTTTTTTTTTTTTTAATTGGGACATTCATCCTTTTCTAGCCCTCTGCTACTCCTCTTGTCCATGACCTTTCAGAGATCACTGACCGGGGCTCAGGAATCACCTCCATTGCTGCTGCTTTTTTTTTTTTATTTTTTATTCATTTTTAACTTAAAGAAAAAAAAAACCCTTTCCATGTACACACAGCACAACCTAAAAAGAAGATTCACTATAAAACCATGAATTTACATTTCACACTGTTTCCTTTTTTTGAAAAACTATAGAATAAGCACTACTCATTATTTTCAAAGATACTCTGCTTTATATTCTTTCTTCTACATTTTCTTTCATTTTCTGCTGTGTACTTTTTGTATTTTTTTCCCTCCCTCCTCCCTTGCTTTAGAGATGGCTACCATTGGATACAAATATATATAATATGTGTGTGTGTGTGTGTGTGTGTGTGTGTGTGTGTGTGTGTGTAAAGCCATACTATACATACTTCTATTTATCAGTTCTTTTTCAGAAGTCAGATAGCATTTTCCTTCACAGGTCCTTTGTAGTTAATTTGAGTATTTTTAATAATCAAAATAACTTAGTTACTCAAAGTTGTTCTTAAAACAAAATTGTTGTTACTGTGTATAATGTTTTTGGTTCTGCTCATTTTGCCCTTCATTATTTCATGCAAGTCTTTCCATGGCTTTCTAAAATCAATGAGCTCATCGTTTCTTTTTTCCTTTTTTTGGCTAGGCAATAGGGTTAAGTGACTTGCCCAGGGTCACACAACTAGTAAGCAAGTGTCTGAGGTTGGATTTGAACTCAGGTCCTACTAACTCCACGGCCAGTACTCTATCCACGGCACCACATAGCTGCTCTTGTGCTCATCGTTTTTTATAGCAGGATAGTATTCCATTACAGTCATATATTACAACTTCTTCAGCCATTCCCCAATTGATAGGCATCCCCACAATTTCCAGTTCTTTGCCACCACAAAGAGAGCTATTGTAAGTATTTTAGGACGTATAGGTTTTTTTCCCCCTTTTTCCTTAATCATCTTGGAAAATAGACCTAATGTGGTATTACTGGATCAAAGCGTTTAGGCAGTTTAATAACTCTTTGGGTATAATTACAGATTGCTCTCCAAAATGGTTGGAAAAAAAAATGGTTGGTCTGATTTAT